CAGCCCCCACTCAGGGCCAGCACTGCTCACCCACGGCTGCTGCCTCGCACCCTGCTCAGCCTCATAATTTACCTCAGCTCTCAGCAGCTTCCGCCAAGGGGTGAGCCTGAGTTACAAATTCTATTTGTCACCCTCAGAACCTCGGAGGAGGTGATTTTAGCCAGCGGTCTGCCTGAGCTTGAGTAGGTAGGCTTCTGCAGGCCTTGTGATCCCAGCAGGGCAGGCGTCAAGGGCTTGGTGCCCGCAGACCCCCCTGCAAACCCTTCACATGATGTCCCTTCAGTCTAACAGCAGCTCTATTTCCAGAGAAGTGGAGATGCTCTTGGAGGTCTCACAGAGGCAGGTGCAAGCCCAGGGAGGCCTCACGATGGCGTCTGGAGCGGGTAGGACTTGCCAACTATTTCCACGCAGGCCAGCTCCACTCCACTGGACTCAGCTGACAGCTTTACTGGGCACTCCTCTGCCTGGCTCAGCCCTGGACTCTGGAATGAGGCGAGAAAGAGGACCCCAGCTCCACTGGCTGCTGTCTTGAACGCCCCCTGGGAGTCTTTCCTAACCTGGCTTATACTGGTGGTTCGGGACTTTTTGCAGTATGTCATTCTGCTCCAGCGGCCATCCAGACCAAGTGTTCAAACCGCAGAAATTCATTTTCTCACAGTTCTGGAGGTTAGAAACCCAAGGTCAAGGTGCCAGCAGGTTAGTTTCTGACGAGGTCTCTCTTCCAGGCGTATAGAGGGCCACCTTCTCACTTTGTCCTCCTGTGGCCTTTCCTCTGGGTGCATGGGGACTGAGATCTCTGGTGTCTCCTCTTCACAGACACCATGCAAGTCTTATCAAATCAGGACCCTACCCCTATGGCCTCATTTCATCTTAGTTACCTCTCTATACACACAGTCTCCAAATACAGTCACATGAGGGTGGCCGAGTGTTATGGACTGCACAGAGACATGCCCCGCCCCAATTCATATGGACGCCCTAATCCTCCAGGTGACTTTAACAAACACCAGCTGGTTGTGTGACTGAAGTAAACTTTGCAAGAGGTTTGTGATGCCTTGGGCACAGGTGACAAAGGGACCACATGCAGGCTGTGGCCTTTAAGAAGACACAGCAGGACCTCTGAAATGTATTTGAAAATGAGCAGCATGCCATGCCCACCTGTGGTGAGGAAGCAGGGAACAGCAGGAGGGAAGGTCAGTGGGGAGAGGGGGCTGATGGGCGAGAGCTTGGCCCTTGATCCTAGGGACGAGGTGGCTGGGATGGTGCCAGACATTTAGGACTGCACCCATTTGTTGTGTGCAGGGTTCCCGGTGAGAACACGAGTCCAAGGAAATCAGGATGATTGCTGGGGAGGGGAGGGGCTCTGGAGGACTCCACAGCCGCGGGGGGAGTCTGGGAGGCCTTTCCCAGGGAGGGGTAGGCAGGACTCCTCCCACAGCTTCAGTGGCACCTGGGAACCTGCTAGAAATGCAGATTCTCCAGCCCCACCCCGGAGCTGCCCAGTCAGATACTCCCAGGATGGGACCCAGCTCCCAAGGGCATCCCTTAGGGAAACTCCTTTACAAGTGGGGACCAGCTCAAGATGAGCTAAAGTACTGTCTCCATGCAGAACCAATCCAAAAGGACAGACCTGGGTTCCACTTCCCACTGCCCCTTCTCCCCACCCTGCCCACTCACCCAGCACCAGCTCCCTCCCCCCCAGCCCCTCCCTCCCGACAATCATCTCCATTTCCCTGGCCTCACTAATCATTTAATCTGGCCTGGCATTTTGGACACAAATTAGAGGACGGGGATTACAGTGAGCCTTTGAGGGAAAATCCAAGAGGACGGAGGCCTGCCGCAGCGGTGAGAGACAATCATGGAACAGAAGACATCTGGGCAAGGCCTGAAAGGCAGGGCATGCTTGACCTTGAGCGAATGTCACTGTGGAGAGCCACAGTGACAGTTTTCTAATACATCAAGAATGAATGTAGGACAGAGAGATCTGTTTTTCCACTCATTAGCAAGTGCAGACCGAGCAGGACCATCTTAGGTTTCAGCTGGGAAAACATCTGGGACCTGTTTGAGCCGCAGGAGGAGGAGCTGCCAAGGAGGCCTCTGAGCCCATCCTCAATGGAGACTCGCATGGTGACATCACAGCCGCCAGGGCTGCTGTCCAGCCAGACGACATGGCAGGGCCTGGAACACACGGGGTCTGATCCCTGCCAGGCTCCGTGCAGGCTCCCCCTCACCCCAGGGCTGTGGTCTGGATCTTGAACAGCCTACAAAGGCCCTCATATCAAAGGCGTGGTCACCAGCCTGTGACACTTCTGGTGGGTGGGGCCTAGTAGAAGGAAGTTAAGCCATTGCTGGCACGTTCTTGACAGGGATATTGGGACCCCTTCCCCTTCCTGTCTCTCTCTTTGCACCCCGGCTGACAAGAGTTGATCAGTCTCCTCTGACTCATGCTCCACCCATGATGTGCTGTCTTTCCACAGGTCCAAAAGCAATAGGCCAACTGACCATGAACCGAAAGCTCTGAAACTGTAAGCCAGAATAAACTTTTTTTCTTCATAAGTTGATTATCTTGGGTATTTTGTTACTGTAACAGAAAGTTGACTAATACACTAAGCAATTCCTTTGAGTGGAAAGGTTGATATGGGCAGAGAAGGTGCCAATTCTGAGTTACCGTGTTCTGCTTTAGATACCCAGGAATCAAAGGGATTCTTCTCTCCTTCCCTCTTTCTGGGCATCTTTGCAAAGCATTTCAGAATGCCTTCCTTGGAGGCCAGGATTGAAGGCATGTGTTTCATGGGAAAGCCATTTATTCCTTTCCACTGCCAACGCCTGCCTTCCCAACAGCAGCAGCAGGAGCAACAACAACCAACGTGTCTCCGTCAGCTCCGAGCTGTGGAGCATGTGTATGCATCCCTTTGTCCTGCCTCACCATCCTCCCAAGGCCCACCTGAAGACAAGGACAGTGAGACTCAGAGAGGACCACTGACCTGCCCACAGCCCCCCTGCTGGTCACACACAGGATGAGGCTGGAGCCCAGGGATCTCTGATTTCAGAGCCTACCATCGTGATCATGACCATCCATTGCCAGGAACAAAGCAAGCACGTCACATACCCAACGAGGAATCAGTCTGCACATGGCTCTCGGGGTGGACAGGTGCAGACCCCTGATAATGTCCAGAGGAACAGAGAACAAGAACCTCACCTGCCTGTGATCTCAATGACTTGAGGCTGAGGCAGAAGGATGGAAAGTTCCAGGCCAGCCTGGGCAACTTAGAGAGACTTTGTCTTAAAATAAAAATTTAAAAAGGGGCTGGGGCTGGGGCTCAGAGGTACAGTGCTCGCCTAGCATGTGTGAGGCACTGGGTTTGGTCCTCAGCACCACATAAGAATAAAATAAAGATACTATGTCCACCTATAACTAAAAAATAAATATTTAAAAAAATTAAAAAGGACTGGGGATGTAACTCAGCAATAGAGCACCCCTGGGTTCAATCCCTAGGACCACAAAAATAAAACAAAGAATCACGCCTTGGTCTCCTCTCCCAGAGCTACCCCCCTCACACCGCGCCAGATCTGGTGACATTGAGAACCAAGACTCTCCTGGAAGGTCGCCCCTGCCTTGCCCTCACTGCCCACACCATAGCCCACGTGACCCCACACGGAGCTCAGGGAACCACCAGGCTTCTGGCAGCAGGAGCACCCTCACACCATCACCTACTCCACACCTGTCGGGCACAGGGTCTCCCAGCAGCCTCTGCGGCCACCACCAGCATGCATCTGTCCTGTGTCCGCACTCTCCTCAGGATGCTCAGGGTGTGCTCTGAGGGGTGCTGGGGCTAGAGGGGACAGCGTGCAGATGCTGCGTCATGGCTTCAGAAAGCCTGGGTCAGGCTCTTCCTCTGTCTCCTCTTTGATGCCACCCTGGGCTCCTCTGCCTTCTCTCCTTCCCTCTTTCTGGGTCCTGAGCATGGCTAAAAGCGTTTCCATTACAGACCTGAAGAACCAGTTTCCCTCGGCTCTTGGACGCCTCCTCAAGAGGCTTTCCCGGGGCCTCGATTGTCCGAAGGTTCCTGACAGGGGACTTTAGAACACCCAGCTGAGCCCACTGCAAGAGCCACTGCAAAACAAGCACAGGAATGGGCGCCACGGGAGGGCGCCGCAGGAGGGGGCCACAGGAGGGCACCGGGTAGTCCTAGCATGTGCGCTTCCACCATTCAATGGCAGGAGGAGCACTGCTCGGGAAGCTGGGGCGGGGCAGGCGAAGGAGAAGCGAATCAAGAGAGACTGTCTGCTGTTCAGACATCTGTGACTGAAGTCAGGCCTGGAATCACAGGAATGTCACTCCTCTTGAGGGAAAGCTGGACTCAAGACACAAAGGCATATTCCTGCAGAATCTGTCTTCCTTCCAGCTTCACTAGGCTCAGGGGAGGTCATAGCAGGCTTTCCTTCATGCAAAGAGAGGAAAGGGCCTGGAGAACACAACAGTGTAGGCCCATGCAGAAGAGAGAAAGAACCTTCCAGAATTTTTCTCTCCTGCTGCTTTCTCCAAACCAAGACACAGGAAGACAGGGGAGGAGAGGCAGAGATGGCTTCTGGAGATCTGGCCTCATGGACTCCGACACGTGACGGGGAATGTCCCCAAGAGCACCTGAGATCCACGCGCCCCATGAACTCAGCTAAGACACCCTGACCTTCGCCTGCAGGAAACTGAAACAGGTGTGTTCGTCCTGAACAACCCAGTCTCCTTGGGTCAGCTTCTGTGGCTCTGTGGCCACACTGCCCAGGCTCCATCCACCATGATTAGCAGCTCAGGATGGATGGGATAATGTCTCTAGAAGGACACCAAAACGTGACCTGTGTGGCCAACTGACTCCCTCTAGAGTGTGACCAGTCATCCCGGCCACATGACACCCCTGGGGCTCAGGAAGCTCAGCTCCTCACACCGTTAGGCATCCCCAGAATAAGCAGAGAATGAACAGTGAGGTCAATCAAAAAGAATCAACTACCTTCATGGCGCTCAGAGCTTGGAAAGTCACTGCTAATCTCGAAGGGGTCAGCGCGGCCAACATCGCATTGAATCTCGCACTCTTGTTCTTAATAGGTGAGTGGTATTGCCCATCTGGGGCCACAGAACCAAACCTGTGGGAAGAAGGAGAGCAGAATTGACAAGAAAGGTGGGTTAACAAAAGAAGAAGGCTTGGCAGCTCTAGAGGTGAAGTTGGGTGGCTCCCTTATGCCCAGGAAGTGCACCAATTTGCATGAGGACCTCCCTCATGAGAACAAGAGCAGACTAAGCTAGGGGTGGGGGGGGCGGGCCTTCTCAGGAGGTTGGTGAAAGGCTGGACTCATAGGACAATCATGCATAATAGCCCCAAAGTGGAAACAACCCAAGTGTCCATCCGCTGCTGAAAGGACAAGCAAAATATGGTGTATACATACCACTAAATATTTTGGGTCATAAAAAAGAAATTGAGCACTGACCCACGCTACAATATAGGTGAAGCTTGAAAAAAGCCAGACACAAAGACCCCATATTATATGAGTCCATCTGTGTGAATCCCCACCTCTGAGGGACTCTCAGGAGAGTCTAAGAAAGGCTGACCATGGAGACAAGGGCAGGTTTTCAGCCACCACCAACCTGCAGCCCAGCAATAGCCCCTGAGAAAAAGAGGCATGGTACCACCATCATTTAACCATACCAGAGACTGAGTGTACAAACTGGCCCACTTTTTTATGAGATATAATTCACACCCCATAAAATTAATTCCTTTAAAGTGTTCAACTCAGAGTATTCACAATGCTGTACAACCAGCACTACTATCCAGTTCCAAAACATTTTATCCCCAGAAAAGGAACATCATACCAATAGCAATCAGTCCCCAAACTCTCCACCTTTCAGTTCCTGGTATCCCTTAATCGACTTTATATCTCTCTGGAGTTGCTTATTCTCAAGATTTCACATAAACAGACTCATATAACATGCGGTCTTTGTGTCTGGCTTCTTAGCATGTTTTCAAGGTTCATCTATGTTGTAGCATGTATCAATACTTCGTTGTTTTTTATGGCTGAATAATATTTCATTGTAAGCATTTATCAGATTTGGTTTATCCATTCAGAAATTGATGGATATTTGGGTTGTTTCCACTTTGGGGCTATTATGAATAATGATGTTATGAATGTTTGTGTACACATCTATTTTTTAGTATCATGCTAACAATGTTTTTATACATATGTAGGGATAGAACTGCTGGGTCATCTGATAATTTTGAAACTACTGAGGAGCTGCCAAATGATTTTTCCAAACCTGTGACAACACATTACATCACTGCCAGTCAGGCATGATGGTTTTGCTTCCCCGCATCCTCACCAACACTTAGTGTCATTTGTCTCTTTTACCATAGCCATCCTAATGCTGTGGATAGTACTTCATCATGATTTTGATTCACATTGTGATGACAATGGTGTTGAGCATTTTTCCATTATTAGTACTTTATATGCATTTTTTTGGAGAAATGTCTTTTCAGATGTTTGCATGCTTTTTAATTGGTTTATTTTTCATTCTACTATTTAATTATAATAGTTATTTTTATATTCTGTATACTATGTCCTAATGAAATATTTTACAAATATTCTCCCCTGTTCTCTAGATTGTTTTCTGCTTTCTTCATAGTGCACTTTGATATACAAGAGTCTTTTTTGAAAAATTTTGATGAAGTCTAATTTATTTTTTAATTTTTAACAAATTTATTTATTTATTTTTTGGTGAGCTATCCTTCCAGTGTCATTCCCCTGAACCAAGATCATAAAAATTCACACCTCTGATCTCTTTTAAGAGTTGTGTAGTTTTAACTCTTACATTTAGGTATGTGACCATTTTGAGTCAACTTCTGGATATGGTGTGAGGTAGGGCTCCAACTCATGCGTTTGCATCTGGTATCCAGTTGTACCAGTATCAGTTGCTGAAGACTTTTCTTTCCTCATTAAATTGTTTTGGCACCCTACATGAATATTAATTGGCCATAAATGTGAGGACATATTTTAAGACTCTTTCTTCCATTGCTCAAAATACCAGTCTTGATTACAATGGCACTGTACTATTTTTCCCATCATAAGTGAGTCCTCCTATTTTTGACTGATAAAGATTGTTTTGACTATTCTGGACTTCTTATATTTTCTTATAAATTTTAGAATCAATTTTTCAATTCCTGCAAAACAAATCTGGGATTTTGATAGGGATTGTACTGATTCCATACATCTATTTACTGGCCCACTTTTTATCAAGTGATAAACCAAGATCCCAAATGTGGGGCTCCTTCTCAAAACTCAAACTCTTGCCATATGCTGTCTTATAGCATTTAGGGGCATTTTAAATATCTATAAAATTATATTAAATTCAAATATTGCTTATCAAAGAAAGACTATAAATCCTCATATCTTCTACAAATACTGTAGCTCATGATCATTTTTCTTTCTTGTGAAGTTAGCCTTTCTGATCTCTAATGCACTGGGTGAATGCTCAGCACTGCCCGGCCTCTGGAGGATGGGCCAAGCCACCAAGATCTCATCAGAGTGGTGGGACACAGGGATCTTCCCTCCTCCCCATCCTCCAAAGTGGGGTGGTGCTGACAGGTGCCTGGAGATGTACAGACACCTCCAGGGGATGCTGGTGGTCCTTAGACCTGCTGTCATGGGCACTGGTGGCCCCTGAGAGGATCTGGGGGTCTTTGGTATCCACCAGTATAACTGCAACGATTCTTTAGTTGTCTCCATTCTATTTCCTCCCAGTTCATGGAAGAGAGCAAACAAAATTTGGTTCTTCTAAGTTTGTTTCCCACACAATTTTCTTAAACTTTTGGCATTTACTACCATATTTATCTGCTGACAAGAACTAGCAGGCAGCAAAAAGGAGTAAAGTGTTCAAGGAAAATCCACAGGCAGCCAGGGAGACAGCTGCTTATCCACACACCGACTGTTGGCTTTGTCAGAGACCCAAATATGATGGTGGCTCAGGACTTTCATAGGATAAGGAAAATGCTGCTGAGAAAGTTAAAAGTAATTGGTGCTTCTAGCCTCTGGGGGTGGGGGAAGCATCATTAACCAACCCTTGAACCTTCATCCCTAGAATGCACCTGAGAAAGCAGCCTTCAGCTCACTGTTGAATTCACCTTGACCTCACTGTGAGGTACTGGGAAGTGAGCACTCATCCCTCCAGGAAGCAGTGGTCTTAATAGCCTCCCAAGCTGAAGGACAATGCCTGAACACTCACAACCCCAAAGGATGGGACAGCACCAATCAGTGTACGAAGTGGGGAATGGAACAATCTAAGTGCCCAACAGTAAGGGATTCGATGACAAAACTTACAGACCATTTATTTAACAGACTGCATGGTGTTGTTAAAAATGATAATGCCTAAGTGTGTTTATTGTTACATTAAAATATTTGTAAAATAATGTTAAATGGAAATTATAAGTCTTAAAAAAAGATAGCATCCTCATTTGGTAAAAATTTCATTTGGTAAAATCTGACATATCTCTCTAGATCTGCTGACGTGTTAGAAAGTCCAGAGAGACACATTGGAGTGCGACAATCATTGTATCTGGGCAACAGCAAGTTGGATCATTTTAATTTATTTCTATTCGTTTCTTTGCCTTTTCCAGTGAGTTATCGATAGCTTGTCAGGGAGGCTGGGGGAAGACAGGCCTCGCTTGGGAGAAGAGCAAGATCATCTGCAGAGTTGCTGTGAAGAAAACCACTCACTTATCCAGCAGGTTCTCCCTGGGTACCCGAACCTTGTTGAAGATTAAGATCCCGTTATCCACACCGTGCAGACCTGGGGAACAGAAATGAACGCAGCTGCAGGGAATCCAGGCATCAGCCATGTTGGCCCTGCCCTTTCCCAAGCCTTTGCTCTAGAACTGTTGATGCTCTGGGTTGGGGCTGAGGGGTGAGGATGTGTTCTGTCTGTCTGTCTCCTGAGCCCACCCAGCCCACTCCCCCACAAGTACAGAGGACAGTGAGTGTGCCTTTCCTTCTGCGCAGCCTGCCAGCTCCGAGGCTCAGGCTGCGGGCAGGTCCCCACCAGAACCTTCCAGAAGTAACAGTGGCTCTCAAAGGGAGAGTTCTAGGCAAGGAAAGGGCAGGAAGGCAAGATGACGGGCCAGCTTGCTCTCCCAGGAGAGCAGAACCACAGGGTTCCTCCCTCTAGGGCCTCATCTTCAGCGTGCAGGGGGAACTGATGGAAGCAAATGCCACAAGACAAGGAAAATGGCCACAAGGACACAGGAGGGGGGCAGTATCCTAAAGTCTGCCAGACCTACTTCCTAATGGCACCTGTGGTCAGATGCTTGGGTCTATGTGTTGCTCAAAAAAAAATCTTAGGGAGATTTAATCTGGAGGCCAAAATGCCTTCTTTCATAAAAGATTTTATTTGAACCTCACCCCTTGACAAGGACACGGTATATTTTGGAGCTTACAAGGAGACCAGGCCGACCTTCCGCAGTTGCCAGTGTTTTCAACGTCTGGAGAGACCTTGTAAGAGCTCGGCCCACTCTCTGCTCTCAGCAACACATGATGCACGAGGTCCTTTCCAGGGGCCAGGGCCAGCCAGGGCCCGGTCCCCAGCAAACCCACCTTCAGCCCAGCCCTGCCTCTGCAGCAATGGTTAGTTTTGCTCCCTTGGAGATGAAACTCTATCCTTCCCCCAGGGATGACCTTCTCCCTCCTCTCTCCCCACTCTCTTCTCTTGTTTTCTTTCACTCTCATACTCCTTTCTTAGCAGACTAATGCTCTGTGCCAGACTCAGGCATCATCAAGGGCCTGTGGGCATAAACACTACAGTGGGCTAAGGGGCGAGAGAGAGAGAGCACAGAGCCTGCCCTCCGAGTGCCCAAGTCTAAAAGGGACAGAGAAGATGGACAGTGTCCAGTAGCTGCCTTGCTACTAGGAAATTCAAGAAGCTGGGAGGGATGAGGCTGGTTTGGTCTGCCTTCTCTGGGACTCACCTTCCTTGTGCATCATATCAATAGCTGTCACTCCCGGGTACAAGCCTCCATTCTCATCCCGGATGGGAACGATGAAACAGTGGGGCCCTGAGGGAGGCAACAGAGACCCTTAGGAAACTCCCAAAAGATGTGAGTAGAGTTTGACGCACTTCCTGGGATGGGGTGAAATTCTTTTGATCCCAGAATTCCTTCAGTTCTGCACCGTGCACTACACGCAATAGGGAATAACGTCAGAACATAAGGATAAATTCATCATCATTTCCACTCAGGAGATGATGTTGGTACTGAAGATAGAAACAGCCCTGCAAAGTGGTGTTCCATGTAAAGTACTCGCTGGGAAAGAGAGACAGTACAGCAAATCCTCTGGCTCCCATGTCAGTGACAAACCTTGTGAACTTCCATTGATGATGAGCTGGGCAAAGACGGCTGCGTAGTTCCCGCCCATGGCGTTCCCGATGTACATCTTCTGGGCGTTTTCACACGGTGTGTTGATTACAAACTCCTACAGAGAGAGAGGGAGCCACGGAGTGTTCCCTCCATATGGCTCGTTTCAGCTCCTGGGCTCAGTGCAGAGAACACTGTGACAACAGACCCACTCGGACACTTCACAGACCAAGGCAGCTGGCTCCACCTGGCAAAGCCAAGGCCACCAGCCATGCCAGTGCTCAGACTCATCAAAGTGAGTTTTCAGGGCATAACCCCCCCAGCAGAGCAAGTGCCCAGGTTTCATCCCTCACCCTTCCTGATCTCTCTTTCTGTTGCAATCAAGCCGAGTCTGCCTGATTTTAACGGATCGAGTCCTTCCTAATGATCAGCATCTCTCTCTAGACTAATTCCTACTGAGGTTTTAGCTTTTGAGTAAAATAATTCAACACCCCACCTGGGAGGTCCTGATGAAAGAAGGAATCATCCAATGATCCGGGGCCCCACATCTGTGGGCTTCATCTTGTCCTATCCCTTCTGGGCAAGGCTCTTGGTTCTCTGCCCTCTACTGTTCACAGGCCTGGGCTGTCTCTGCATCCCTGGCATGGGCCTTTGTTTGAACAGCACCCAACCAGCTAACTGGAGGCCAACATTGTGCCTGGGTGCAGACCAGATACACAGTCAACCTTGACCTAGTCCCTCCATTGCTTAGAATAGCAGCCTGAACAATTTTTATTTCTATGAGAAAAGAATCATTAAAACCTTTGGATAGATGGGTCCAGAACCCACTCTGCATTTTTCCAGCCAATGAATATCATAAGCAAATGTTGCCCAAAAGCTTCTCACACCCAAGACCTTAAAACAGAAGTGCCCGTCAACGGGTCTCTCTCCATGTCATGAGGAAAAGGATCTTAAAATGCGCCACACAGTCTGCCGCCATGACCTGCCCACGATTCCAGCACCAGTGTCACTGGGTCGAGGCAGGGAAGAAACGCAGGTGTTTGTTTTCAACTTCTGCTCAGAACTCAGTCTTCTTTCTCTGACTCTCTGGAAGCCTGAACAGGGATCCCCGTGGAAATGCCGCCCTTCGCCCTTGGCCTTCCCCAGCCTTGCTTGCCACATGGGTCACCCTCCAATCTCTTGCCAAGGAGAGGGCCACACTGTCAGCTTTGGGCACAGGGCGCCTGGATGGGTCAGGGAGCCCAGGGGAAGTGACAGAGGGGGAAACTGCACATTTAATTGGAGCTGACAATACTGAAGAGGGCTGAACTAAACTGACGAGCTATTGATCACGCAAAGATGATCTCAGATTTCAGATTATTAAGTATATAGACTGCACTTTGCCTCAGGCCAAGAAACACAGTCTTGAGGCCTAAGAAAACACTCTCTGACATCGGTTTGTACAGGAAAACTTCTAACATGTGCAAGGGCTTTTCAGAAACACAAATGGACAAGCTGAGTCTTTTCAAGAAAAGTCTCCGGAGGCTGCCCTTGTCTTATCTGGCCAGCCAGGAGTCCTCACAAAGAAGAGGCTCTAGGCCGGGGGCAGTGGGAAGAACGGCAAAGCAACCTGTGTGGTGGGGGTGCCTGCCCATGGGGGAGTAAGGGAAGGAGCAGAGGAAACCCTGGCCTGGCAGAGAAGGTCTGGTGGGACAGGGAAGAGGGCAGGAGGCCACCGTCCCCATAAACATCTGGCACACCCCAGGAAGGAGGTTTGTCACTTCTGGCAAGATGCTTGATGTGGAAAATTTACATCAGCCAAAATGCTGGCGTTAAAACTGGATCTAAATAACACACACCATGTGTGCTGGTTGCTAGTGTAACTATTTGTTGAAGGCCAGCAAAATGGCCAAGCACTAAAAATATAAAAAATAAAAAATAAATAACTGCTTTGGGCAGAGAGCTCATAACCTCATTTATCTTTGCCAGTGAACACAGAGTATAAAAATAAAATTCTCTCTTACCTCTTAACTCTCCATACCACTAGCCCATCCACACACACACCCAAAAACTAAATAAACAAACAGAAGAACCAATTCATAGGAGTGAGTCACCAGAACGTGAGAGCTTCCCCGGTCCTGGAGGGAGGGAGGCTCCTGGCATGGCCTGGCATTTCAGAAGAGAAACGAAGGAGGAACGAGACCCAACGAAGGGCAAAGCCACCCTCCGCCACACCAGCTGCCAGTGGTGTGTGTCTGAGACGGGCTGTTCTCATCCCATGGAGATGAGCGCACACCAGAATCTCTACATCATAACTGCGACTCCACAACTCCCCTGTCACAAAGCGGCAGCTGCTGAAGTCACCAGGTAGCAAGGTCATTTATGCTGCGTTGGGAAAATGGGTCCAATGCAGGAAATTTTTTTTTTTTTTTTGGAAAAAATAATTGTAAAGAGAAACAAATAAATAACAATTGTGGGTGGTTTTCCTCCCCCATTAATGACAGCAAGGTGACCTGGATACTGCTGCTTGGGGAAGGAAGAAATTGGCCAAAACCCAAAAGATATAGGTCAGTGAGCCGTCACCAGCAGAAGCCACACTGTGAAACGCAGACCGGCCAGAATCTGAGACTCTCTCGTTAACTGCATGACCCTAGTCAGTTCCTGAAGCTCCCTGAGCCTCAGTTTCCCCATATGTGAGACAGGGACAACACTACCTTTCTATATGATTGAGGACATTCCACACAATGAGACACAGAGTGCTTAGTGTCACCTTAGCACATGCATGCTCCATGGACAGGAGCCTCTGAATGTCATGATTGGGGGTGGGTGCTGGATGGAACACAGAGCACCCCGCAGAGGCAGCTGGACACAGCACCGCACAGCCGGGTGCTCTGTGAACAGCAGCGCTCACTCCTGCTCTTCCCATCACCGGCTACTGCAGAGAATGAACATCAGGGGGAGGGAAAGCAGAGCACCCTCCATACAGCTGTCGCCTGGATGTCATCCTACATGGTGGCCACTTCCAAGCAGCACTTGTGGGTCAGGCACTGTGGTGCACACCTGTCATCTCAAGGGCTTGGGAGGCTGAGGCAGGAGGATCACAAGTTCATGGCCAACCTCAGCAACTTAGTAATACCCTAAGCAACTTTGTGAGACCCTGTCTCTAAATAAGAAGTAAATGGGCTACGGATGTGACTCAGCCGTAAAGCAACCCTGGGTTCAATCCCCAGCACCAAACCAAAACAAAAGAGAAGAACCAAGTAGCATTTGTGGTCTAGAAAACTCTGTAGACGAAAGTCCAGGTTCAGAAAGACATGCTTAGGGAAAAAAAGAACAGGCTGAGAGATGGACACCTGTGCCACGCCCACACTGTGCTCACAACAGGCCGACACACGCAGGTTTACAAAGTCTCACTTGTAGAAAGAATTTCAAGATGTACTGCTCCCTTCAAGTAGTCCTTCGGAATACCCAGTACCAAATAAGAAACTATAAAAGAGGGTGAAATAAGTAAGTAGTTGTTTTCTTTATTCAGGGGGAGCAGTTGCTAAAGGGGGGGGGGTGTCTACAAAGTGGGGTCTCACACTGCAGGCTGTGACCCAGGATGGAGAGAGAGATTGATTTAGAGAGTCTTCACCAACATACTCATTTCACTAATAAGAAGAAAAGGGAAAGGCAGAATAACAAAGAAAAGAACAAGAAAGGGAGAGGAGAAACAAGCAGAAGGGAAAACATCGGAGTTCTTCACGTTCAGTAAAAAGTAGAGAAAGACTGTTTTGTGGAGCCTCCAGTGGTCACATGAAATATGAGCACAGGTGACCGTAGGAACATTGCTTGATACAGTTGGCCCTCCAAATCCCTGGATTCTACCAACTATGGCTTGAAAATATTTTTAATTGTATCTATTCTGAACATCCAGGGACATTTTTCTTACTGTTTTCCCCTAAACAATGCAGTTTAGCAACTCTGCACGACGTTTGCACGGTATTAGGTATCATGAGTACCCTAGAGGTGACTCAAACTACACGGGAAGGTGTGCATGGGTTCTCTGCAATACCATTTCTCTAAGGGACTCGAGCATCCATGGATTTGGGCATCCACAGGGGTTCCTGGACCCAGCCCTCATGGGCACTGAGAACCACTGTGCCATCCTGGAGAACTCGACTCCTGGTAAGGAACCCCGGGGGACTGAAAACGCTCCAGCATTAGAGAGTAGCAAACACACACGGCTCTGAGCGTCCTCTGCCTGATGCTGCTGGGAAGGGCAGAGCAGCTGTAGGGCTGTCCCTGTGGAGCCGTTCCAGCGGGTAGCCGGTGAGTGCGTGCAAGGTGCGTGGTGCCGCACGGTATCAGGCTCAGGGAGGCTGAGCTTGCGTCCACCTCCACCTAAACACGTAGACACTTGTTCTGAATCTGCGCTCCTCAGCCACAGAGCAGGGTGCCAAGTGTGATGAGTCTCCAGGCCTTTCCCTTCGCTACCTGGCAAGCTCTCTGTACAAGGTCTGTCTCCTGCAGAGGCCCCCCAACTCCACAGACTCAGTCCTGTGTCCTCAGGCCTGCCAAGTTCACCCCATCGGACGATTCTGCGGAACTCGTCTGTTCACACACACAGGGTGTGAAGCTGGGCTCAGGAAGAAGGACAGTCTGGTCTGTACAGGTCACCCGCTGCCCTGAACCATGGAACACGGTACAGACTCCTCACCTGAGCTGCAAGGTCAAAGGTGGCCTCCGTCTGGATCCCTCTCACGTTGCTCCCGTGGCCCCTCTCGGTCATTGCAAACATCCCGGTGTATTGTTGCTCCTGCAGTTCAGCAGATGTGAGAAGGTGACTGGCTGGTCAGAGCCTCAGCTGCAGACCTCAGACCATCAGAATGTTGGTGACAAAGGGAGAGGTAAGTTGGAGATCATTATTGCAGTGCAGCCTGATGACACCTAATGTGAGCTTACCAAGATGGCAGGATCGGCGCAGTATTTAAGATAAGAGGGCAGGGGTGGTAACACAGAGGCAGAGCACTTGCTTAATGTGTAAGGCACTGGGTTCAATCCTCAGCATTGCATATAAATAAATAAAATAAAGGTCCATTGACAACTAAAAATATATTTTTTAAAAAAGAAGATACTCTTGAAATTCCCATTTGGAACAAGAATTTTGCTGACCCAAATGTTCTTTTATTTTCTTTTTCTTAAGACACACACACACACACACATATCTAACTTCAATAGATATTGGAGGCTCTTCATAGAAGAAGCTCCCTGCTCAAGTGCACGCCATACCTTGAGTGGCTGCAGCCACTGAGTAACATGTCTGGGGCTTCCAAGATTCCTCACAGCACCACCAAATAGCCAATAAATGATTCCACACTAGAAACAAGGAAAATGCAAAGCATTATTAGCAACAGTCAGCAGTTTAAGGACAATCAAACCCACTAGGCAAACTCCATCCCAGGAACCTTGAACTTGACCTAGATCCCACAGGTGAGTAGTCTCCGTGCCCTTCCCCTTCACTGCCTGGCAAGCTCCAGTGGTTCTCTGCCCATGGGTCTCTCTCTTAGAAAGGCTGCCCCCCAACTCCACAGAGACTCAATCCTCCTTCTCAGTGTGGCCTGGTTCACCCCATCAGAAGGTGGTCACCCTTCTGAAGGTGTTTCCTGGGAAACCAGCATCTGGTATGTAGAAAAGTATCTGGAGCAATGACGCCAGATGTTGACCACCATCTGCAGAGGTGAGCCCTGCCACGAGACATCAGCAAACAAGCTGACTGACGGGAGAGCGAGTCAGAGCAAGTCAACAGCTTGGGACAAGTCAGCCTGGGCTCTGCTCCAGTTTAGTACCCGGTGCTGTGAAATCTAGGTGAGTGATGTGGAGCCTGATCTGACAAATGGAGCTCACACACGCAAGCTCCCTGAGGCTCACAACACTGTGACAGACACATCCCCATGCCCACCTCACAGAGGAGGACGCAGAGGGTCAGAGAGGGAAGCTGCGGTTCAAACGGAAGCCGCCTAATGCCTAGTAGGGCTTCATAATGTGGCCATGACCTGGCCTCAGCACTGTCATATGGAGTGCCTTCAGTGACAGCCAATGCCAGGCACCTGGCCCAGTCTTCATGAGCCCTGGAAAAGTGCTGCTGACGAGGAAGAGGAGGGGGAGAAAAGAGGGAAAAGAGGGAAGGAGGGGGAAGAAGAGGCATGTGCAGCAGGACCGCTTGGAGGGAGCTGGCCGCTGACTGCAAGGACAGAGGACTCATGGGCAAAGACGCTGGCTGGCCCCCGGGTCAGCATTCTGTCCCCTCCTAGCCACATGCCCCAGTGATCCTCTAGGGGGCCCTTCTCCCCTGGAATAAGTCCAAATGGTTTGCAGGTGATGCTGACCCCGTCCCCAGCTTTAGGAAGAGTCTGTAGCTCAGGACTGGCTGATGGCGGATCATGCCCCTGGCAATAAGGGTGGCCTCAGGGGTGGCCCTATGACCTGGATGGTCCATCCAAGGTTCCCCCAGGGGAAAGGAGCTGTCACCTGGAGGGACAGAGTACTGGTGCTGCTGGTGGCCAGGTTGCTGTGAGCTGGCCAACACACAGGGGATGAGGAGAGGAAGGAGGTGGCCCAGGGGTCCCGTGCATCCCGCCTAAGCCAGCTGCCCCCAGGGCCCAGCAAGGCCCTCTTTGTTCAGGCAAGTCTAGAGTGGGCGTTAGTCTGGGATCCTTGGCACCTGGACGAGCTGCCTGTGGTCCACACACATGGGCAGCCTGGATTAACACCATCAGCTCTATGACAATGACGCTAATCTCAGCTCTACGGGATGTCACTTCATCAACTCTAAGCCAACACCAGCTAAAACACTCTGACACTGGGACAGCAAATTTCACAAATCCCATCCGATGTAGAAAGTGCCCTTCATCTGGAGAATCCCAGTGTCCTGGGAGGAGGCTTACTGCCCTGGCCGCTCAACGCACTTCCCTACAGGATCACGGAGGGCACTCGGTATGACCCTGCTGTTGCCAGCTCAGGGAAATGACATCAAGGGTTGCATGTTTTTTCCCCTAAGCCATCTTAGAAGTAAAGTTTTACAAAATATATTTTACTCAAACAACAAGAAGTTGAATCTTCCACCCCTAAATCTCTGGATGGTAGCTGACCCAGATTTCACAGTGTTATTCCTCTTCTAGGTTTAATCCTTCCTCATCTTGAGGAAGGAGAATCACATGTTGCCACCGCATGTTGAAAGCTTCCATTCTCTAGCTATAGGAGGAGCCCCGGCTGTCAGTTTTCAGAGAACAGCACCAGTTAACAGAGGAGGCATCTGAGAGACCCCATCCACACTATGGATCCGAGTGTGGGGTTCTCCTTCACAAAAGGTACATTCTGTGAATGGCGGGCAACCAGACCAAGCTTGGATCCCCTGGTGGGGTCTAAAAGGTGATTCCTGCCTCCCAGCCTCTCGCAGGAGCTGTGGGGGAGGGGAGAGGCATGGCCAGCCAGCTCAGCCAGTAGGAAGGTGGCAAGGGGTCCCCAGGGAGAGAACCAGAGGGATCAGGACAGATCCAGGAGACAAAGCTGAGGGCAGTGTTTGGTGGGAAAAGGAAAAAGAGGACTCTGGAGACCCCTGGTCTTTAGCCAGAGTGACCAGGGGGTGGAGGCCCACCAACTGCAGTGGGCGGCTTAGAGGAGGAACCCGGAGGAGCTGGGAGGAGATTTTGAGGCCGGCATCCATCCAAAGTGCCCCTAAGTGGAAGTGTGTCCGCGCTGCCATCACTGCCTGGTGTCCTGCCCCAGCAGACCTCAAGGGACAGGATGCTGAGAGGTGCATCTCCTCTGAGAAAGACTGAGGCAAGCAGTAGCAAGGAGATTAAGAGGTGCCTAATGAAGGCCCTAGTCCCAACGTGTGCCCAGCGGGCCTGTTCAGAATGCCCCCACTTGGTCCTCTCAAACCTGGAGAAGGAAAGGCATCTGGTGCCGGGGGTGTCCAGCAAGGGCTGGCAGGAGCCTCTGGAGGACACAGTGGAGCCACCTAAGCACTGAGTGCTGCAGGAGGACAGAACCAAGGGGCCAAGGGGTGGGCCTAGCAGGCCTCTGACCCCCAGGTGGGGACCAGATGGCAACTGGGACCAGTTAGAGCAGAGACACGTGTGGGTTCCACCTCAGTCCACTCACAGAGCCCCTCCCAGGACCACTGCTGGGGAGGCTGCCAGCCACATCTCAGGGGTCACAGTCCCCACCACTCATCAAGCTCCTGCGACAGGCCAGCCTGGACATGGGGTTCCTCGTAGCATTATTGATTAAGATCTGTAGAAAAGCCTGTTGATGGGCCACTGCGGCACCATCTTTACAGAAGGACAGCTAAGGTACATGCACAGTAGGAAGGCCTGGACCATGACCAGCAAGTCCTAGACACAGGACGTGCACCCTCGTTGTCTGGCTGCTCCCTTGCCACAGAGAGCCCTGGAGGTCCATCATATGCTCAGGAAGCTTGCCATGCCATGGCTGTGACAGGCCAAGCCCCTCCTACCCAGCATCATGACAGCGGGTCTCCCGGAGGGCCTCTGGAGCCTTCGGGGACTTTTCGTCTCATGTGGGATGCACTGAAGCATGGAAAATGGCTTTTGAGACAACAGTGACCCCAGAAAGGATAGTGTTTGGACCAATTTATGTGCCCCCAAATTCCTATTTTGGATCGTTGCCCCCAATGAGATGGTACTTGGGGCCTTAGTGTTAGACGAAATATTCTAACCCTCGCGGGGGTTGGTGCCCGTGTGAGAAGAGGAAGAGAGACCAGAGCGGTCTCCCCCTCACGCATACACAGCAAGGAGGAGGGCGCCCTGCACATCACAAGAGCCCTCGCCAGGACATGCAGTGTGGCAGCCTGGCCTTGGGCTTTCCAGAAACGTGGGAAAACATGTCTTGTGGCTGAAGCCCTGGTCCGTGGCACTTTGTTAGGGCAGCCCAGCAGACTGACAGAGAGCTGGGTGATGGAGAACAGAGAGCAGAGGAGAGCCGATGTGCAGCCAGGGAGGAAGCACTAGGCTCCTTCGGGCCTCGGAGGCCCTGGGTATATCCACGTGTTTGGTGGAGGACCATGGAGCAGCTCCTGAGCTGGCACGGGGAATGCAGAGCCCCCCGTGAAGACAGCCATTGTCCCTGGCACCTCTCTGGCCTTCCTAGCCCTTTGCTCTGGGTGGCTCTGAGCCAGCCCCAGCCCTGCCAGCACTGGGCTGCAGTGCTGAGCGGAACCGTGTTTGTCCAGAGCGCTCAGGGAAACACAGAGCCTCTACAGGAACACAGACTGGGCGAGGCCCAGCTCCGGGGGTGCAGATGACTTTCGTGAGTTGATGGTGACACCAGGTTGACAGCCAGCTCGTATGAAAGGCAAGGGCTGCCAGCTGCTCTTGGGCTGGTGGGGACCCCTGATCCACCCAGAGTTCACGAAAGCTGTTCCCAGCCCAGCACAGGCCCTCCTGGGCAAGCTCTCCGCCACCTGCAGGACCAGGACAGAGCCTCTGCTTCCAGGCCAGACTCAGGGCAGGGTGCGCAGGTTTCTCCCACTATCTAGGACTCCAAGTTCAGGAAGCGATCTCCCACAGTGACTGGTGTGTGGGGAATCAGTGGAGTTGATAGTAACTATTGTTAACTAAGTCATTTTTATTGTGATAAAAGACTGTAAAGCTTTTAGCCACTTTTAGTGTACAGTTCAGTGACATTGAGTCCCTTCACAATGCTGTGCAACCATTACATTTCCAGAACTTCTCATCATCCCAGAAGGAAACTCTGGACCCAAACAGCAGCTTCGGGGTCCATGTCACTTCATCTCCCCCCACCATCGCCTTCCCTTCCCACACCCAGGATTATCAGGAAGTTTATCCTATCATTTCATCACTAAATGTTTTTTATGCATCTGTAAAAGATAAAGACTTTTTAAAAACAGCTCTAAAACCATTATCCCTCCTAAAAATATCACACAAGTCCTCTGACATCACCTGAAGTGCATTCCTCAAACTTTCCCAGCTGACATGTGCTATTCCTTTGCAGTTTGCTGCTTGATCCAGGATCTAAGCGGGGGCCACAGGCTGCCCTTTGTTGTGAAGCCTCAGGTCTGCCCCCCCCCCCGCTCATTCCAATACTCCCCGCACAACTCTGTCCCTGAGCTCAGTGCAAGACCCCAAGGGGGGACGGGTAGGGGTAGGGGGGTGGGTAGCACAGGAACCCCCAGGATGGGACCATGAGCCTGGACTGGGATCCTCAGCATTTTTGAGAGGAGGAGCTGTTTGTTGTCTCTTGGTCGACTGCCCTTCTCTCTGAAAACCACAGCCGATCCATTCAGGAGGGAAGAATCACAGGGAGGCCAGCCTTTCCCCAAAAGGGGCTGATGGTGGACCCCTCCCCACAGGTCGGCATGCACAGATTTCTTTGTTTTCCATTCTCAGCCCTAGAAAATGCTCAGGTGGAACTGAAATAGCTGCCATCTTGGACTCACCACAAAGCAACCTGGCTTCCTGCCCCATCATCTATCTTCAGGTTCTTTGTCCAGGAGACAAATCTTTCCCCTGGAGACAAAAGGACCAGGTGTCTGGACAAGGGAATTTGTTTTCAGACCCGACAGTGGCCAGAGGGGAAAGGAGGGGCCATGGGATTAAGCCTGGGATTAAGCCTCTGTTGGGATTCAGGGAGCCACGCAGGGCTGTGGAGGTCCCTCTACCTGAGCTAGTCCATTCACCACCCTTGGTGAGCTCCTCACAAAGCAGCGAGATGTCATTTTATGGCCATGGGATTGGCAAAAAAGGAGAAGCCTAAGGATTCCAGGTGTGGAGAGGATGTGGACCCTGGGATTGGAGTGTATGCTTTTGACAGGGCTGAGTTGATGCAATAATACTGACATGGCCTCTAGTGTCAGGCATTCCTCTAACTAGCAAGTCCATGCCTAGTTAAATAGCTAAAGGAAGCCTGTGCCAATGTTCAACGCCAGACATGCACAAGAGTATTCACAGTGGCATTTTTCACATTAGCAAAATCCTGCAAGCAACATGAGAAAGTGAATGGATAAGTGCTATGATATATTCATGCAAAGGAATATTATGTATCAGTGAAAATGAACAAACTGCCCTCTCTATGTCATTCCCCCAGTAATTTAACTAAAAGATGGAGAACAGATTTGTTGTGGCTAAAGGTCAGAGGTGAGGTAGGGGATAGATACAGCTACGAAGGGGTAGCACCCCCAAGATTCTTTGTAATGATGAGACAGTTCTATAGATTGATTGAAGAGTGGTTACTGAATCTATTTATGGTGTCAAGTTGCATAGAACTACACACACACACACACACAAATGTGCATGTGAAAACTAAGGTCTGTATCCTCATTAAACAGAATTGTACCAATGTCAATTTACCAGTTTTATGTTTGTATTATGGCTACACAGATGTCACCATTGGGGGAGACAGGCTTCACATGATCTACTATTTTTGTAACTTTCTTTAAACATTATCATTTCAAAATACAGTTTTAATTTTCAAAATAAAATATTTAAAAAAATTTTTTTTTTTTACTTAAGAAGAACAGTGAGTCGCAACATTGGGATGGACCTTAGCGATGATATCTAAGTGAAGAGAGAAAAATCACATAAGGTGATGAGACTGTTTTTATAAAATTAAGATCCATGAAAATAACTCATTGCTACAACCATGATAAAGCGATAGGAAAAGAAAGCGGTAGGAAAAGAAAAGCAGAGGAAACCAGATCTGGCGCGCTGGCTAAAGGGGAAGGCAGGCTGCCGGGCCTGAGAACTCACCTTCACACTGGTGGCCAGGTCGGCCGTGGAGAGCACCTCCCCGATGACGAGGCCCCGATTGACAAAATTCTTCGTCTTCTCTGCCTGCAAACATGATAGAACCAATGTCAACGTTTCCTTGTGGTTTGACCTTGAAATCCCATTGTTATAATATGTGCATGTTACGTGGGGGGGACGCGTTCTGGGGATTGAACTCGGGGGCCCTCCATCACTGAGCCACATCCCCAGCCCAATTCTGTGTTTTGTTTAGAGGCAGAGTCTCACTGAGTCGCTTAGCACCTTGCTGTTGCTGAGGCTGGCTTTGAACTCAGGCTCTTCCTGCCTCCACCTCCCAAGGCTCTGGGACTAGTGGCCTGTGCCACCGCTCCTGGCCTGCATGTTACTTTTGCAATAAAACACAATAAAAGTCATTGTTTAAGAAGCAACCCCACACTCCACTGCAGCAAACATTTTCCTCTTGTTTCCATGTGGCCATTAGTTTCTGAGAACATGTATGTAGGGCTCACAGACTCTTTTCTTACATAGAAGCAAGTCCACCGCACCTGCACTGGTGACAGACACCCCTTGCTTAGGCTTTGCTTGGGCTTTGCTTGGCCTTAGCCAGGCTCAGCCCTGGCCTGGCCTACCAGAGTTCCCTCAGCAGAGCAGGCACCCCAGGATGCACACCCAGGTGACTATGTCCATATGGAAACAGAGGACTGAAAAGGCTGGGGAACATTCTGGACTAAGGTAAAGCAATATTCTTTGCTTTCCTAACCAGAGCCATTTCTGGGCTTTGAGGCATTAAAACCATGAGGTCCCGGTCTCGCTTCACTGCCCTCTTCTCTTGCACAGTGGGTGAGCTTGCTCCTCTACCAGCAGGAAATGAGAGGGGCCAAGCCCCCATTGCTGGTACATTTTAACAATTCAGAGGCAACCAGCATTTCCTGAGAAGGGGGAGACGCCATGAATGGACAAACTCTAACTGCCCATTGTTGGAATGAATGCCGTTTGTCCTCACTGACGAGTCCCTCTGAGAACCAGCCACAACACCATACCTGCGTGTATGTGCATCTACTACAGTCATGCACATGTGTGCATACACTTATGTTGTGCATCCACATTTACATAAGCGTGCATGCCTACCTGTGCATGGGTTGTAAACATGTACACCTATATATGTGTGTGCGTGTGGAGACAACTGTGAATGTGTGTGTCTGTTCCTGGGTGTGCACACGTGCCTGTGTGCACAGTGACTCTCTACTATCAGGATAACAGCCAGCCTCCCTGGATGGCTTTGTCTCCACACTGGCATAAGCTCTCTCCCCAAATGCACTCTATATTTCCCCTCCCGTTGGTTTTTATGTTTCTCTCAAGCGTTATTAATTTTATCAAACAGCAACTGTCAAGATTTATGACTCTTATCATGGCTCTGACCCAATGCATCTTGTATTGATTATTTCCTAAAATAACTCCAGGCTGCAGCATATACCACTGCACGATTCCAGCTCGGGCTCACACTGGAGATTCAGTTACTAGTAAATAATACAAAATAACCACTGCAGATATCTGCAGATTTCTCAGAGGGCCCAAGTATCCTTGGTTGCACAGATCCTTATGGCAGTCCTAACCCCAGGTAGGAGATGGAAAAGCCCAGGCTCAAGGATGCAAGTGACTTGTCTAACCAGCGGCACCTGGCAGGTGACAGAGCCAGGATCAGAAACCAGACTGACCAGGTTCCCCATCCAGATGCCTCCCCACCCCTCACTGTCCTCATCATTAAGTACTCCAGGTGGCTGGGCCTCCTCACAAATCAACTCCAATTTTGCACCACCAACCCTGTCCCCAGAGAGCACCTAAGGTCAACCTGCTGGGTGTCCTAGATAACTTCCTGAGAGTCGTCCTCTGCAGCGGACTTTCCTTTGCCTTAAGCCACCTACTCTGCTCAAACCTAAACCATCAGGAGTGTCTAAGTCTCTCAGAATTGACTGTCTAAGTCTCTCAGAATCGCCAACAGTTCACATTTTTCTTCATATTTCATTCTCCTAATGTATACTGGCAATTGTCGAAGTATAATTATGTCATCAGTGGTATTCAAAACTGTGGTCATTTTTACTCACCAGTATAAAATAAATTGCAAACACATTTGCTGAAGAATCAGCCCAAACTTGGCCATCTTTGAGCATCATAAATTGTTTATGCTGATTACTTCCCTTCCCCAGTCTCCACAGGAGATGGCCACCTTTGCTATTGGACCTGATGGGAAATGCCAGTAGGAGTTGACTGTTAATTCTGTGATGTTGACCTAAGCGTGCATGAGGACTGATCCATTTTCAAGAAGTCAAACCAGAGTTCCAAACCTGAGACTAGGCTTCATTTGAAAGACTGTCTGACTGGTATAGATTTTTAAAATCTTCTCCACACATAATTTCTCTCTTTTCTTCTTTCATTTCTGATTGGCTAGTTGTTCGTAATTAAAGAATGTTCGATATTGACAAGTTTCTCTCTCATTGAACTGGCACCACTAACTGAATTACTTATACTTGTCATAATCAATCAATAATCAACCCGTGTTTGTCTGCATCCATTCTTGCAGCATTTCTGTTGTATCAATGCTGCCTTCATTTACCCTTGCTACATTCAGTCCAAACCCAATCTCCATGTCATCATGTAAATTGGTAGCAATTTTAAATGATAATAATTCTATAAATATATGGGTAGACTACTCAAGCTTATATTTCATCCTAAATTACAGCCCATGCTATTTACACTTTTGCTTAATAAATTCAGTCTCGAACAGAAGGAAGATCAAGTTTTTCCTTAAGTACTGCTCTTCAGAGCACTCAATGTAGCAGAACTCTGTGATTTAGTATTCTGTTACAAAATCTGCAAAAATTTTGGTTTTCTAAACCCCCAGAGTTCCTAAAAGGCATATATACTTCCTCAGTGAAAACCAATGTGATTCGGAACTGGTTGGGTGTGGTGATCTGAGCTGCCTTCCTCTGATGTCAGAAGTCCCCATGGATCCCTTTGCACTGGGTGGGCAGCCTGTGTTAAGTGCCCAGCCAAGAGTCCTGAGCAGAGCTTTCTCATCTTCATTTTCTAATATGAGTCTCCAAACTGGCGTACTTGCTTCTCCTAATTTCTGTTCCAATTTTTAGTTATAGATTCAGTCTTACTGAATCTATGTCCTTTGTGAGAATGATCCTCAAATGATTTTATAAAGAAGAAAAAGTCAGAGTAAAATGCACAGATTAGTGGGTTTCAGGATCCAGGTGAGGCTCTTGCTTTCTGAGCTCATCATTTCTAACCCTCCACAAGATTCCCCCCTCCTCTCCCCATGGCCATCTTGTGCCTGGACTATTGTAACAGCCTCCCAGCTGGATTCTGTCCCCACCCTGCCCCAAATATCAGGCACTAGGATCTTTCATTATTGTTGTTGTTCTTGTTGTTATTATAAAATTTCATCTAGACATAAGCTTTGCTAAATAAATAAACTGCTGATATTTTTCCTACATTGCAGTTGCCTTTTTATTTCTTTAATGATTTCTTTTGATGGATATCAGCTTTTAATTGTTAATGAAAGTCAATTTGTCACTTTTTGGTTTATGCATATTTGATGTTTTTCACAGAAGGAGTCTTCTCTAATGGACCTGGCCTGTCCTAAAGTCACAATGACATTTTCCTTTGTTCTTCTACAAATATTGTAATTTTGGAATTTGTGCTTAGGCAGATAATACACCCCAAGTACTATTGTGTATAGTGTGAGGAAGGGATAAAGGGTGACTTTTTTTTCTATATGCTTATCTAGTTGTTCCAATACCATTTATTATAAAGACATTTCTTACCCCATAGAAACATTAGTTACCCCATCAACTAATCATAAATATCTGAGTTACTTTCAAGGACGCTCCACTTCTGTGCCCTTGATCTCTTTGTCTATCCAAATCAACACCTTAATCTTTTGAGTATCTTTGTATTAGGTTTTGAAATCATGTAATGAGAGTCTTCCAACTTCATCCTGTGTCAGAATTAGTTCAAATATCCTAGGTCCTTTGCATTTCCACAGGTTGTTGGAACAATCTATAAATTTTGATGAAGGCATTATAGTCGTTTTAAAATCAGCATCATGGTGTGTCTCTTTCCTCCCTCCATCCTCCATGATGAAAATCTCCAGTGACCTCATTTGCCATTGCAAGAAATCTAAGCCTGTCAGTGTGGCCTCCACATCTGGCCTTTGTCCCCTGGTGGATTCTGGGCGTCACAGGTAGGGTATCCTACCTCCATGCACAGAGTTCTGGAAGCATTTGGAAGCAAAGGCAGTAGCCATGTACTTCTCTTGAGGGGCCTGTGACTATTCCAAGAAAACTCAGTACAAGACCAATAAGAGGTGGTGTTCCTGTGGCTCTGTCTAGGGTACTTTTCATTTTGTAACAACATGATTTCAGCCTTCTGACATACAGCATTATCCAAATTCTCATCTCAAATTTAATATCTCTTTTCTTAGCAACATATGCTTCCTACCAAATACCTAACTACTTGGGAAACTTTTCTAATTATTAGTGTAATCACAGGATTGATTTTAAAAGCATATAATGTCATTATTATATTGATAGCATCTAATAGTGAATATATCCTATTGACATGACCAGTTTGATGTGTGGGTTTAGTTTTTTTGTTAGTGGAAACTACAGCATTTTCCATTAATTTTAATGCCATGAGAAAATGTTGTCCCAGCTATTATTTCCCTTTGTGAAAGATGAATTATGGCTATTTAAGAACTGTTTGGTCAGGCGATGTCACTGGGAGTCACCCAGCAATCATATGTACCCAAGCACAGTCTGAACATTCACTTGTGATGTGCCTTCACGCCTCTCCTCAGCACTTCACGGTAAGTGCTGTCAGCATCCACAATTCACAGAGGAAGAAACTGAGAATAGGAAAAGTGAGAAATGTGCCCCAGGCCACAGCCTCTCAGTGAAGGAGCCAGACATGAGCCCTTGTCGAACTGATTCCAAAATCAGAAACCTGAAACCATTCCAAAATGGTGAGAAAATTATTCTGTGATCACTCCATTTGGGTGAGAAAACAGATTGCATATGCAA